CAGTAGATGGGGTAGAGAGAGAAGATGGGAGGGGAGGAGAGGGGGGATAGTAGAGAATAGAAAAGGTAGCAGAATACAACAGTCACTAATATGGCAGTATGTAAAAATGTGGATGTGTAACCGATGCAATTCTGCAATCTGTATTTGGGGTAAAAATGGGAGTTCATAACCCACTTGATTCTAATATATGAAATATGATATGTCAAGAGCTTTGTAATGTTTTGAACAAACAATAAAAAAAAAGCAACAGCATTTAGTCTTTCACAATTAAGTATAAAGTCAGCTATGGGTTTTCACAAATGTCCTTTATCAAGTTGAGGAAGTTTCCTTCCATGCTTAATTTATTGAGGGTTTTTATTTTATCAAGTACATTTTCTGCCTCTACTGGGATGACCACATGCTTTTTATCCTTTATTTTACTGATATGATATATTATATCAATTCATTTTCAAATGTTCAACCAACCTTGAATTTCTGGGAGAAATTCCACTTGTCATGCTATGTAATCTTTTTCATATTTTAATAGATTGGGTTTACTATAGCATTTTATTGAGGACTTTAGCATTTATATTCATTAAAGATATTGGTCAGTAGTTTTCTTGTGATGAGTCTGTGTATTTTTAATATCTGGATACTATCAGTCTCACAGATTGACTGTCACTTACTTTGAATAAAATTTACTGGAACATAATCATATCCAGTCATTTTAGTATTTTTTAGGGCTGCTTTCACACTACCAAGGGTAGAGCTGAGCAGCAATGAGAGAACCCATATGACCTGCAACAGCAAAAAYAGTCACTATATAGCCCTTTACAAAAAAAAAAAAAAAGGATGCTGATACCCGATAAACACGAAAGGTCCATGTACAACATATATTTCTAAAACTAAATGCCAGACATAATGTAAGTGTACAGATCTGGCCTAACTTACCTTTTCTATTGTTCATATCCTATAACTAGTCAAAGGGCAAAGGTTTGCTAAGAGAAATAAGGTCTAAAAAGCTCGAGAGAGGCAGGTGAAATTCTAATCTCCTATCCAACAATGCTATCTGAGAGTCACTGATTTGGACTCCTGAATACCTAAATGACTTGAGAGAGTCAGTTACATTCTTTATTGAAAGCTAAGGTTTCTTCAGTAACTCAACAACAGAATGAACACCATGAAATAGGATTCTTTTATCTTGTCTAAGATGTAAACTTTTATCATGTTTTGCTCACCTTTCCTACTTCTTTCTGTGGAGCAGAAATGTTGTTTTGATCTTCCATTTTATCCTCTTCATCATCAAACAAGCTAAGAACAGTTCTGGTTCTACCCTTGGTTCCTTTGTCTAATGAAGACGATGAAGAAAATAAATCAGAATTCTTGGCTGCATCCTGAGCAGATGTAGTCAAAAGTCCTTCCTGAAAATGGAAAAAGAAAAAGAAAAAAAAAATCAATAACTGGGAATAAATATCCCACTTTGGGCCTCACAAGGTCCTTACTGATTCAATAACTAACTGCCATATTTACATGATTCAGAGCATGATAGCTAATTGTATCTACTCTCATGTGACAGAACACTGAGTGAGGTCAGTTCTCAATTACTGCTCAAATGAAGTCCTGTAGAGATAATCTATAGTCAAAGGTAATTTTTCCAAACACTTTAAGACCATAAGTCCTGCCCCTCTGCTAGTAGATATACAGTTAGAACCCTGATGCACACAGGTTGCTCATGAGTTAGAAAAGAACTTCTAAGTCACAGAAGCATCGTATGTCAATTACTGGAAACAATCATGTATTTTCTAATATTGAACTACTATGCCAGTCCCAAGGGGAAACATACTAAGCAAAACCAGACACTCAACTTGTAGAAGAAATACTCTGTGTATGCAATTAGGTTGATCACTAAAATAATCATAAAATGCAACACTTATTCATTGAAATACTATCACAACTCAGGCAAGATAGCACTGATCATAAGAACTACTATTATGGGCTGGGTAGTTTGTGGTTCAGTGTTAGAGCGCTTGCYTAGCACGTATGAGGCACTGGGTTCAATCCTCAGCACCACATAAAAATAAATAAATTAAATAAAGGTATTGCATCCATCTACAACTAAAATAATTTGGGGAGCAGGGGTTACCAGGGATTAAATTCAGGGGCACTCAATCACTGAGCCACATTCCTAGTCCTATTTTGTATTTTATTAGAGACAGGGTCTCATTGAGTTGCTTAGAGTCTCACTAATTGCTGAGGCTGGCTTTGAACTCACGATCCTCCTGCCTCCACCTCCAAAGCCGCAAGAATTACAGGCATGCACCACCACACGGGGACTTAGAATAATAGTGGTTCTTTTTTAAAAATTATTTTATCATTTATGTACCACCAAGAAAGAAAAACAATGCCGATTAAACATGCCATTGATCGTGAGGCATCCTAATTTCAGAGTGGCTAAACTGTGGAAAAACATGCTTCTTTGAAGAAATATGTACTTTATAAAATAGCACCTATCATGTGCAAGGTAACAGGCTATCAACATGATGGTGAACAAACAAACCCAGCCCCAATCCTCAAGTGAGGAAGAGGATAGCATAATAAGAATCAAGTATGGAATGGGTTAGGACCAGGTAATTCAGGTCTAAATGAAGCCACTGGGAAAAGAAGGTCACAGGGACATAGGTACAAATATACACTTGTATTACTATAGCTCCAAGGAGTTTCCATGAAAAAAGTAAATGTAATAATCTTCATACATTCCCTGGGGAGAGATATTAAACCTGAACACTTAGACCCACAAAGTTTAAGAAAATTTAGGAAAAAGATGAGATAAACAGAAACCAAAGGCAAGTACTGGTACTGGATTCCCGGATGTGGCCAGCAGCATTCGCCATAAGGCCTTTAGCAAGAGATGGCAAAAGCTGTTTGAGAAAAAGTACACATTTGACTCTACTCTGTAATTCACAGCCAATATTAACCAGATGTAAAAGGATGAACTAAAATCTTCTGGCATCTTAACTCAATCACAGGTGGGGAGTAGAGGAAAACTAATGGAACGAGGAACAGCACTTAGGAGAAGCCAAAAAGAGCACATATACAGAGAGAAAGGCAAAATGAAAAAACAAGAAAGATGTGGAAGAGAAATATGCAATGACATGAACATGTCAATAACAACACAGAACAGGAAGCCCGCACACCACTGTGTGCACACGTGTATCTAAAAAAGGGAACAAAAATCAAGCGCCTACAGGTGGGGGTGGGGGTGGGAGCAGAGGCAGTCTTCTTCAAACTTTTCATTGTTTTCAAGTCTTCATACAAATGAGTCATTCATTTTCTATGGTGGAAAGATGATAAGGGTTTGTGTGTGTTACAATAACGTAAGAGACACAAACACACTGGGATACAAGAACAAAGGCTACCTTTCCTGCTGTCGCAGCTGTGTCAATTTTCCCCGAGTCTGATGATGCTTTGGCACTCTCGACATTCTTATCTGTGGGTTTCACTCCAACTTGTGTCTTCTTCTCACCTTCATCACTGAACAGCAAAGGTGGCACCTCAGGGACAGTCTCTTTCTTCTGTCAAGAAAAGAGTAAAATTTGCAACAACAGCACCCAAAAAAATGTGCCTGACTAGTATGACAATGTACAGAAAGACCAAAACCAGTCCTCTTGGGACATAAGTGAACTATGGAAGGACAGTGCACAGAACAGTGGGGGAGGCACCAACAGAAGATAAACACTACTCCCTAGACTTTGGCCACAGCACTTCAGTTTCTGCTGCCATAAACATTTGTTTTGTCTCCTTTTCACCTCCTGTCAATCCCACCCTGTCCTCCCTTAAAAATAGACCTTGTATGGACTGGGGATGTGGCTCAAGCAGTAACGCRCTMGCCTGGCACGCACGAGGCGCTGGGTTTGATCCTCAGCACCACATAAAATAAAATAAAGATGTTGTGTCCACTGAAAACTAAAAAATAAATATTAAAAAAATTCTCTCTCTAAAAAAAAAAAAAAAAATAGACCTTGCCATGATGCCAGGACAATTACTCTCTCTGTGCTTCCCTCTTCTTAACATTTCAACTCTTAAGCATCATCCAGAGCCATCCTACTAAAATAAAAATCCCTGCCATATTACTTCATCTCCAAGCCCAAAACTGCACTTTTTGCATTAAGTAAATGGCAATCAACAGACACTCTAGTCTGTATCCCTCTCTTCATCTGTGCCTCCCCATTCCTCATCATCCCTTAAATTTACTGAAGACTTCTATATTTCCATACCATGTTCCCCTCTTGGCATGCAGAAGCAAATCCTCATATTTATAGCAGAGTCCAGCTCACACATCACCCATGAAGGTTTTCCTGTTCTTCAGTAATCAGTTGCTTCATTGAATAAACATATTATTTCTCTATCTGGCACTTACTCTACTTTCTAATTGGTAATGTACATTTGTTCATTTGAAAGAACCATACATCATATTTCTATAGCTAGTTATGACATTTTTAAACTAAGTAGTTGCTCGAATTTGCAAACCCTTTGGCTTGTCCCTCATCTCTTCCTCCTCTGGAAGGCAGAGATTTTTTAGAGATTAGGAACTAAAGTTTTGAGACTCACCTAGAGTTATCAACACCATTGGGGCAAGTGAATTATCAACAGATTCTTAAGGAAAAAAAAAAACCATAACTATATTATACTAACTAGATTAGATGCTATGAGAAAGTGAGGTTTGAAGCAAGGAATGTAGATATGGGAAACTAAGGGATGACATTATTATCCACATCAGAAAAAGAGTTATAAATGAAATTAAGAAAGGGATGATTTTTAGTTATTGTTAGGATGAGAACTTAAAATGCAAAATGATTTCAACTTGAAATAAAAGAAGACTGGAAGTTCACAAAAAAAACTTTAAAAGAGATAAGTCAATACTAAAGGGATTAAAGGAAAATAAGTGTTATGAAATATGCTGGACTCACTAGAAACTATGCAAATTTCTGCAGCAAGTTGATTGGGAACAAAGAAGAGACTTAAGTAGGGCAAAATATTCTCCCTTCATATGACTCTGGTCTTTAAACTGAGGAACATGCCACTCACCATACTCGTTTTAAAGCTTCTTGCAGATAAGCTCACTCTTAATTCTCGTGATGAAATTTCTTGTCTTTTCTTTTTTGGTGCAGGGTCTCACAAATGCTAGGCAGGTGCTCTACCACTGAACCAACATCCTCAGTTGAAATTTATTTTCTTGATATGCTTACAAACAACTTACATTTAACTTACTTTAAAATATTTTCTTTGGAGGAGGGACACCTATTTGCCTTTTCCTCCATATATACCCTAAGATCTCTAAACAAAAATAAAACAAACAAAAAATACATACGTCTTATCTACTATTGTCTAAAGGTAATTATATTTCACAAAGGGTAGAAAAATAGTGTGTAGGCTACTTAGCTTCTTAACATTCATGTCTTAAGCTTCTCCTTTTTTGTTTTCTTTGTGTGTGTGTGCACATGTATGATGCTGGTGATTGAACTTAGGGCTTTACTCATGCTAGGCATGCTCTCTATCACTGAGCTTCATCCTAGCTCTTTTATTTATTTTGAGGGAGGGCCTTGAACTTGCACTCTTCCTACCTGAGCCTTTCAGGTAGCCAAGATTACAGGTGTGTGTAATCTTGATGAAGAACCTGTTACCATGTTAGTTATAGGTGCCCCAATCCCTAGCTGCACAGTCCTAGGGAAAGTGCTTCTCAGTTATGTTAATAGCCAATCAGTAAAAAGCAAGGAAATTCTTTCATGTGCTACATACAGCATGTGAACCTTGAGGACATTATGCTAAGTGTAATAAACAAGGTGAAGAAGAGTAGAGTAGTAGTAAGGCTAAGGCTCTGTGTCCAGTGATTCTTGATCTTTCAGGCCACTACTGCTCAGGCATAGGGGGTCTCGATAAAGCCTAGCCTAAGAAGTTCCAGATTTCCTTTTGGGGTTGTTAATCAGAAGTTGGTATTAAGACAGTGCTTGGTCTCACTTTTTCCTATGTGCAAATATGGACAGCCAGAGAGAGAATGCTGGGGAGGAGTGAGATATGGCCTAGTGGCAAGATCCCAGTATGCCTTGGTTCCTGGACAAATACATCCTAATGGCACCTTCCTCTCTTTTTTTAATAGTCCTTTTTGATACAAAACTAACATCAAAGATGGCTAAACTTTTTAGTTCACAAGATGGGAGTAATATCATTCAGAAGTAATCATTGAAAGGGTAGTTGGACCACATAGCCACTGATAGCTATTCTCCCCCCTTATCACAAAATTTAAAAAAAACAAAAAAACTTACATAAAACAAACAAACATATATTTTACCACCTTCCATTTTGAAGTATATAGATTTAAGTGTATCCACACTGTTGTGCAACCAATCTGCAGAATTTTTTCATCATGCAAAATTGAAACTCAATACCCTTAAACAACTCCCCATTTCCCTCTCCCTTTAGTTCCTGAGAACTACCATTATACTTCCTATACCTTTGACTCTGACTACATCAGCAGTCCCATATAAGTAGAATCATACAGTATATGGGGGTTTTTTGTGATTGATTAGTTTATTACACTTAGCATAATATCCTCAAGGTTCACACATGTTGTATTTTTAGCACATGAAAGAATTTCCTTGCTTTTTACTCACTGGCTATTAACATAAACCAGGACCAAAGGGGTAGTTAGCACATAAAACATGTTCCCAAGAGGATGATTTATGCCTTGCTATAGTTTGGATCTGGAATGTTCCCTGAAGGACCATGTGTTAGAGGTTTAGTCCCCCACGTGGGACTTTTAAGAGAAGGGACCTAATAGAAGGAACTTAGGTCTCCAGGGTGTGTCCCTGGAGGGGATACTGGCACTCCATTCCCTTCCTTTCTCTTTGCTTCCAGGGTGCTATGAAGTAAGCAGCTTCCTCTGCCTGTGCTCCTAACATCACGAACTTTGCTACCATGGTTCCAAATGTAACTGAGCCAACTGGTCATGGATTGAAAGGTAAGCCCAAACAAACCTTCCCTCCTTATAAGTTCATTATCTTGGATGTTTTCGTCACAATGAAAGCAACTTGACTAACCCATGCCTTAACTGGCCTAGTCCAACATTTGCAGAACTCCATGCCACTGGACTCTGTCTCCCTTGGCAGTTTCTTATCCCCACTCTTGACTGAACAGGCTACATGACAAGGAAGAATCCTTTTCTTTAGGCTTTGCATGCACATGTGCTCCACCTGGAGAATACCACTAACCAAAAAAGCTCTTTTTAAACTAGGCAAACAAGTTCTTCCCTAAGACTCAATCTCCAAAGTCAGATTTTTAGAGCTGACTCAGGGTAGTATTACTATTTATGCTATTTCCTGGGTCTATGAGATTAAGAATACCGTTGCTGCAGGAGGAACAGATGCAGGAGGAGAGCCAAATAGAGAGCTTCCACTATCAGCGTCATCTTCAAAGAGGAGTGATGCTCTCTGGGTCTTCTTTTGACTATATGAACAAACAAAAGGTCAAACTCAAGGCAAAAGTAATTTAAAAACAAAAATAATAAGCCATACCTAAAGCAACCCACCTATCATCTTCTATTGATCTTACACAGTTGAAAGCAAATAAGAAAAACTTTTAAATAGGAGAAATTTGTCCCTAGCTAGTAACCTATGAAGAAGAATCACTTAAGTAGAAGAGTCCAGGGTCCTTGTCATTAGACTCTTGTCAGTCACTTTCAGTCAGTGTAGGTGCATTAGCTATTAGCTCTGCAAGCACCTGATGCCTTGGCATTCACAGATGTAGCGTTCCCCTCACCACCTCCTACAGCAGAGGAAGAACCAGAGAATTCAGATATGCCTTCTTCCAAGGACAGGAAGACAGGTGCTTAGACAGAGCACAGGGCCACAGCCAGCTTTGGGAAGTGGCCTTGTGATCTACCTTCTACTTCTTTTTTCATAGTAGCTTTAAGGAGACATAATTTACATACCATAAAATTAACCCCATAAAGTACACACATCAGTGGATTTTCATATTTTCACTGTGCAACTATCATCACAATCTTGGCGTACATCTTTATCATCCAAAAAAAAGAAAGTCCATGTCACTCACCAGTCCCTTCTCCCCATAAACCCTGGCAGCTACCATTCTATGTTCTACCTCTCTGGAGTTACCTACTCCAGACATTTCATAGAAATGGAATCATAGTCTCTCTCTTTCTGGTCTTTTATGACTGGCTTCTTTCAGTTAACCTAACATTTTCTAGTTTCATCCAAAGCGTAGTATGTATCATTACTTTATTCCTTGTAATTCATGAATAAATAATGCATGGTTATGCAACATTTTGTTTATTCATCTGTTGATGAATATCTAGGTTGTTTTTACTTTGGGGCTACTATGAACAATGCTACATAAACATTCATGTACGCTTCTGTATGAATATACATTTTTCACTTCTCTTAGGTATATACTTAGGAATGAATTTATTGGATCATATGGTTAACTCTATGTTTAACATTTTGAGGAAGTGCTAAACTGTTTTCCAAACTGGCTGAACCATTTTACATTCCCACCAGCAGTATATGAGGTTTATAGTTCTTCTACATCCTCACCTACACTTATTGTCTATAAAACTTTCTTCTGAAATCTGATGAAAGCTATGCACTACTTTCCACATATAAAATTTTATAGACAACCTTAGGAACAACTGAAGATGGAATGAGTCTAGGGCACAGACAGCACTACTGAAAACCAGATAATGTACATGGCAGTCATCAGAATTTATAAATGAGATGTTCAGTTTATGACTATGATCAGATTATGACTATGAATGTGTCAGGGGGCATGCTGATATACAGGTAACTTCCCCCAAAGTACACGGAGTACTCAACTGCAGTGGAGTGTTCATGAAGGTAGAGCTGTGTCTGCTCTCCACTCTTTACCCTATTCCTTCTCTTTCTTATTTGTTCAGGTCAGGGAAGGCTTCTTAAGAGAGGACTTATACTACCTCTTGAAAGAAGCTGGCCAGGAAAAAAAAAAAAAAAGGAAGAATAGTGTCCCAGGAGAAACAGCATCGAAAAGAAAGGAATGAAACACATCCCCTGCATTTATCATGATGAATGACAATGTCTAAGTGTTGGCAACATACCAGCTATTGTGCTCAGCATTTTGGATTTGGGTTTCATTGAATCATTTCAACAACTCTATAAGAAATGAGGAAACTGAGGTACAGATAAATTAGATAAATTTGCCCAAGGTTATTCAAATAGGAGATGGCAAGGCCAGAATTTAACATCAGGTATTGGGATTCTAGAGCCTATATTCTGAACCAGAAGCCAAAGAGGTCAAGACATGGGAGCCTAAAGCAGAGAATGGTGAAATCTGAAGAGAAGACAATATTTGGAGGTAAAAATATGAGGTACTTTTATTTTTACTTTTAAAATTTTTCAAGTTTTTAGTTGTAGATGGACACATCTACAACTTTGTTTTATTTATTTTTAGTTGGTGCTCACACATGCTAGGTGAGTGCTCTACCACTGAGCCTGAGTTATTTTTAAATCTAATGAAGCATAATCACACTAAGGTACGGGATTGACAGGTCCAATCAATTGCCCCTTTATGCTACTACTAGTCAGATTATTTTCAAATTAATCATTTAAAGTTTTCAAGAGAAAAAAGTATTATTGGTGAGAGTTATTTTGAACCCACAGCGAATCAGGCAGCATGTTACATCAACACGGCCCATGTTTATTCTAAGTTTCTTGCCAGCTTCAGTTTAAGTGTCAATGTGGAGAGTCATTCAGGGCGGGTAGGACTCCCGAAACCTGGTAGGAAACTAGAGCTCTGCAGAGAACTATCCCCTTAACAGGATGTTTTTCAGTGCAAAGTGACTTCTATGGAAATGACAAACTTTTAAGTAACCTTGACCAAACTATACAATCTTTAGGGTAGCCCTGAGAAAAAACAAAACAAACACAAAACTTAAACCCTTGACAAACTAAGAAAAAGAATATTTCATGGTTAAAAAAAATAACAGATAAAATCAATATAAGGATCCAAGACAAACATTTCTCAGTATTGAGGAAGAAGACTTGCCTATGAAAGGCAAGGACATTTGCATTTGCACTTGTGTTGGGACTAGGAAGTGCCAAACTTTAGCAGTGGAAACAATGACCATCTTGGGCGCTGAAAATCTTTCCTCACTGCTATACACACTGAGTAAATAATTTCTTACAATGGCCATCTCACCTGTCCTTGGCAATAGCAAATAGATCATCTTCATCATCCTCTTCAAAGAGACTCGTTTTTTTCACCACCTTGGCCTCCTGGCCCTGGTTGGTTCCTGAGTCCCGGAGTTCTCCTTTGGACCTGCTGTCAGATGCTGACTTGGTCTGTGAATCAGTAATATTCCACTGGTCCTTAAAACATAAAACACATTATTAAAAATCCTCCCTGAGGTTGAGGCACAGCTCAATGGTAGATACTTGCCTATCCTAGAGAAAACTCAGAACGAACAGATTTTGCCAAATGCTCCCCAGCTTATTACCACTAGTTCATACCTCTTTGTCCAATCATGCTTCTCTAAACTAAGCATGTCTTCCTCAGACTTAGCATGTTTTCCTGTTTCTCTGAGCCTTCATTTCTGATGGCTTCCAAAGAAGCCTAAAACTTACCTTAAATAACATGTTTGCTTTTCCTTTGTTGATTTGCCTTTTGGTACAGGGCCTCAGACATGAACCTTGTGATGCGTGAGAAATCTTTACTTCTCTACATGGCCTAACTCATCTGAATTAGCATGGATTATAATTTAGGGGCCACACTTATTCTCACTGTTTTGAACAGTAATCTTTAATTCACTGTATTAGACATATTAAATATCTTTAAGAAAAGACACAACCTTATAAACATTATTTTTTGGTAAATGATCTTCACTAAGTATGAAACAGGAGTAGGTTAAAAAAAAAAAAAACAATGTTTGGGTTAGCTATGATTTCTTAAATCCCCTCAGATACTATCTTCTTCCTCCTCTTCAGGCAAAATCTTAACCCACCTCTTCATCACTGCTGAACAACAAAGTAGATGCTTTCTTTTTGGACTGCTCCAAGGGTTTTACTTTCTCTTGACTCTGAGTTTGTAGAGATGATGTCTGCTTTGTAGCAGCTGGAACCACAAAAAGATTATCCTAGAAATACAAATGGTGGAGAGGTATGATAGCTTCATACACATAAAACAGAAAATGTAAAGTTGTTCTCCCATGTCAAAGGGAGTTGGGTCTCCATCAATAACAGAAAATAACACATCTGGGGGAAAAAATCATTGACTGCTAGTAGATCCCACTCCACAGGAGCCTTTCTAACTACATTCTCTACCCATGGAAGGGAAACAGATTACCACTGAACTTGAAGACAGAATACTAGGAAGGAGCAGGGGAAAGACAACTTGAGGACAAGGTGGGAGGAGGGGAAACTGAGGCCCATTCAGTGCCCCCACCTAGTGGGGGTTAAAGTTTGGTTTGTTTCCCTTCTTATGTGGGCATGAGAGTCCCAGGAGCAGTCAGCCAGCAACTCACACCTCTTTTTATGAATTAGAAACTAGAGCAAAGGATAAAAAGAGAGAACAAAGAGACTTTCTCCATTCTTTTAGAGCTACAAAAAAAAACACAAATCTAGGAAAGAGGATGGAATAACTTGTGTTTCAGGTCAATTTTTTTTAAAAAGAATACAAAGTTAAGAAATAGTTAAATTCCTGGCATCCTAAGGGTTGACGATTATGAGTTCAATGGCATTTGTAAATTACTTTGTAGTCAAGTATCCAAAAGTATCTCTTCTTAAAGTCATTTAACAAAACTGTCAGAAGGTCCCAGACTGGGTTAGATTGGAAAAAGCAGGAGGACCATCCCGAATCATAAAAATCAATGAAGGGAGCATTTACGGAGAATGTGGTAAAGTAGGACAGGTCATGAGAATCATGATCTGGCATCAAATGGGAAAACTAGTGACAAAAGTGAACACTCATATTACTTACTCTGTTCTAGAAACTGTGCAAGGGTTTTACATTAGTTACTTTAGTTCTCACAACAATCCCATTTACCTATAAACCATACAAGATCACAGAAAATTGAGTTACTTGCTGAAGGTCCCTTTTGTTAAATGATGGGAACTAGGTCTGAGGAGACAACCAATGAGCTTACCCACTGCATGATACTGCGTAAGGGTTAAAGTTTGGTTTGTTTCCCTTCTTATTTTTCTCCACCACTCTGATATCCCCATTCAGGTGGGAGTGAAAGGCTAAGTGGGGACATGGTCATTCTTTTTCCACTTTGTCCAAGACATTCTCGCACATCATTGAGTATAACACAGATTCACTCTCTAAACAGTATTTCTCAAATGCAGAGTCTAAAAAATGAAATCTACTGAGCTTTCCTTAAGAATTAGGCTGGGAGTTGGGGATGTAGCTCAGTCACAGAGTGCATGCCTAGCACATGAAAGGCCTTGGGCTCAACCGCTAGCACCAAAAAATAACTAAACCCAACAAACAAAAACCACTTGGTTCAGGAGTCTAACATCCTCCTCAATGTATAGCTGGGAAAACTTAATGAGTTTCCCTAGACACATTATTGTTTCATGAGTTGCAGGGAGCATGACTGCTTTCCCATCACCTCTCTACTACATGGGCCTCTGGCTATAAAGCCACATTAACAACAACTTCCCACTCATCTAAAAGTTAATTATCTGGTGCTGCAATAACAATATTTACCTCTTCATCTTCATCATCGAAAAGGGAGACTGACGTGGGGAGTTTGTTGGGCAGGAGAGATGCACCTTTGGACTTACTTGCATTTTGAGAAGAAAATAAATCCTGTCAGATCAAGAGTGAAGTTGCTGGTTATATCAGTTCAATACAAAACACTAAAGACTAGAATATCGTGGTCGCCATGCATCTAGGTTGAAAGGGAGAGGGAAGGTGGCTAAAACAATCTTTAAAGAGCTTCAGACTCTGCCCCGTTTGTGCGTGGCACAAATGCCTGATGTTTTAGAGGAGAGCCACAGGACTCTGGGGACTTCTGTGTTCCTACCTAAATGATGTAAAGCAGAAAGACATTTTCTAATGAATGTCCTATCAAAATTTTTTTTTAAAAAAAAAGCTTCTTTTTTCTGTCTAAAGAATCAGAGACAATCACACAAATTCAATAATGGAAACAGAGGCTAGATTCCCAAATTACTAAATCTATGATTGTCCCATTATTCACACCTCCCTCTCCTAAGATCATAATGTTATTTTCTTTAAATAATACAATCTAAGTTTCTATTTAAAACCATTTGCTATTCTCCTTAGCCATAGCTATAAGCTCTTGCAAACCAGAAAGACCTCCAAGATTCTGAAGAAATCATCAGAATAATAATGTGTTAATATGTTGGCTTGGACTGCTAAGAAAGCTCTGTGAACTGAGCCACGTGAAATTAGAAATATAAAATAGAACAACTAGCCCTTCAGGCAAAGGAACTTCAATATATAAGAGCCAGATAATTATGAGAACATATTTTCTAAGGCCTCTTTGGATAACTTTTTAATGATTAAATCAGTGATTAGTCCTCAAATATAGACCTAATGAGTATTGGAGAAGAATTCTTCTCAGCACAGTGGTTTTCACCTGGGATCCATGGAGTCCCATGTCCCTCCCACCTTTATATGCAGGTTTAAAAAAAGGTGTTCTGATGCTTTCAGAAAATGAAAGCAATCCAAACCAAAGAGTAAAAACCAATTTTTACATCACAATTTTGGACCTTTCTTGGTATTAGAGAAAAAAAGATATTTCAATCACCTCAAACATGTCCCCCAAAATGACTTCCTAGGACAGGCTTCAGCTCCATACTTGAGATATAAAAGAATCATTCCTTCTGCTTCAATGTTTTATTTCCCCTTGTTTTACTTTTTCTTGCCTAAGAATCCCAACAACATCCAATAAAATCATTCATTGTATGATGATACAAACAGGGCAAAGCCTTTGGTGGTGATTTTTTTTTAATTTTCTGGTTCCCTGACATTGCCACCATCGAGAAATAGGGACTATGCCCCTGCCATTTTTTCTGGGTGGGCCTTTCTGACTGTCTCAAACAACAAACAGATGCAACATAAGGAACACTTGATTCCAAGGCTGGGTTACAAAAGGCAATAATACAGGCTCTTCCCTGTATTATTCTCTCTCAAGAATCTCACTTGGAACTCTGAATCACCACATAAAAGACTCAGCTTCCTTGAAGCTGCCATGCTAGGAGACCACTTGGGAATAGAGAGAGGGCCCAAGGAATCTTTCCCACCCAGGCACCAGACACATGAGTGGGATGATTCTTTGTCCATCCTCCCTCAGATATAAGTGACCCTTAGTGACAACTGCCAAGCTGAGCTCAGTCAACCTCTAGTTCCATAAGAGACAATAAAACTTGATGTTTGAAAGCACAAAATTGTGATTTGTTTCATAACACTAATAACCAGAACACTTAGTAATTTCAGGCTTTTCCCTGAAATTAACTCAACATTTGTTTCTTCCATGGACTTAATAATTACTGAACAGTAAGTAATACCAAGCATTAGTACCAGAGGTAGTATGTCAAGTATATAAGCAAGGAACAAAATGTTGTGGAGCTTAAACTAATTTGGGGTAGAGACAATAAACAATAAATACACATGGTCCCCTGGCAACACATGCTAAGAATAACAGAAGAGAGGAGAGGAGAAGGAGCACAGTGTGGTGCGTGCCAACAACCTTGTCCTCTGTAGGGCCATCAGTTGAGGCCTCAGAAGACCTGGAGGAGTAAGAAAGTAAACCAACGAGCTTCTGAGGAGAGCCTTCCAGTGGGGCAGGAGCCAGTGCAAAGACCCTAAGATGTGAGTATAGCCCCAATGGGTGACAAACATGGAGTAACTCAGAGTATGGGCCCTCCTGCATGGTGTCTTGATGGCTAGAAATCTGGCTAACCTAGACTTTAGCTAATTCCTATCTCTGTGCATGAGCCTTCAATGAAATGCAAATCTCAAAGGTGTTATTTACATCAAGTGCAATCAGTCCACCTCCAAAGAGTTATGTATTCATCCTGGCTTTGAGCACAAAATCTAACCTTGAGAGCTGAACATAGAGTCCACAGTTTCTTGAAATTACATGTAAATGTCTGCCATGTCCATATATTTTTCTGTGAAGGGAACTTACTACTTCCCTTTATATTTTTGTATGGGTCTCCATCCCAAAAGGTGAGCCCAAAATCACTTCTGAAAGGACTAGGTGTGAGGGAGTCAGAAAAAGCAGTGCAGCTTCTGACAGCCCACAGGGACCAAGGCTACCCACAACCTGTGACTAGCCATAAGAAGACCAAATACATGTCTCTATAGCATCGACCCCACTATCCAGTTAGCAAGACTATCAAAAAAGGAAGCAGCAGATTGCTTTCCATTCTGCTAAGAATGCCTTAGGATGTATACCAAAAAAAAAAACAGTGTAAAATCAGAGCATCCTAAGACAGTTCTTTCCTCCCAATAGATGAAATGGATTCAATACCTAAAGTAAGAAGTATTGCATACATACTGCTTTCTAAGGACCATGTATTTTTAAGACATTTGTTTCAAAGAAAGAAGTGAACTATTAAAGTCCTATGCCTCAAGGAACTGAACAACAAAAAAAATATGATCAGTCAACAAACATGAAAAAAAATGTTCAATATCACTAGCAATTAGACAAATAAAAATTAAAACTACACTGAAATTTCATCTCACTCCAGTCAAAATGGCAAATATCAAGAATACAAGTAACAACAAATGTTGGCGAGGGTATGGGGAAATGGGTATGCCTATACATTGCTAGTGAGACTGCAAATAGGAGTAACCACTCTGGAAAGCAGTATGGAGATACCTCAGAAAACTTAGAATGGAACCACCATTTGACCCAGTTATTCCACTCCTAGGTTTATACCCAAAAGGACTTAAAATCAGAATACTATAGTGTCATGGCCACATCAACGTTTATAGCAGCTCAATTCACAATAACTAAGCTATGGAACCATCCTAGGTGCCCTTCAACAGATGAATGGATAAAGAAAATGTGGTACACATTCACAATCGAATATTACTCAGCCATAAAGAAGAATGAAATTATGGCATTTGCTGGTAAGTGAATGGAATTGGAGACTATCATGCTAAATAAAATAAGCCAATCCCAAAAAACCAAAAGTTGGATGTTCTCTCTGATATGTGAATGCTGACTCACAATAGGCAGGGGTGGGGGATAGGGAGGGGTAGGGGGTTGTCCAGAAGGACTGGACAGCGGGGAAGGGGGAAAGGGAAGGAGGTTAGGACTGGGAAAGATAGTAGAATGAACTGGACRTAACTTTCCTACACTTATGTATGAATACACGACCAGTAACTCCACAAAAATGGGAGGTTATACTCCATGTATGTATGATATGTCAAAATACATTCTACTATCATGTATAACTAAAAAGAACAAATTTAAAAGAAAGTAAAGACTAATTTGGAAACAATTTCTAATCTCACATTCACACATGATCAAGTAAGAGAATTCCATACCTCAGAGTCCTCCTCATCCGAAAATAAACCTTTCTGAGTCTTTGTTTCTGACAAGAACTTGAGATTTTTGCTAGAAGGTACTGTAACCTTTGTGAGGGAAAAAAAGAAAAAATGAGGATTAGTAAGTAACACGCCTGAAAATTAGAGTTTACCTAATCATTCATTCAGAAAACATACTAAATCTCTTCTATGAGAAGGCACCAAGTCATGAACCTTGGGAATAAAGATGCTGTGGACTTTGGGTGTGTACAAAGTTCACACAATTAATACAAAGAGAGAATTTTCAAGCAAAATAATTTAAAAATTAGTTTAAGTTAGGAAAGAGGAAAGAAACAATTCCTTGAGAAAGTAAATTCCCAAAATGAACAAGGCCCAGGCACAGTGAGACAGTATAAGCAAGAGCATTCCAGACAGAGTACACTGAGAAAAGCAAGATAGAGCAAAAAGCATATCTGATGCAGCAGGGACAGGACACACTTCCCATACCATGCAATTCACAGAGGGGACATGTGCAATCAGAGATACCTAGAAAGGTAGGCTACCCAAGGGGCCACCATGTTCTGAATGCTGGGACTCTGGTGGCAGGAAGAGAAGTCAGGATTCATAGTAAGGTCATAACACACTGAGATGACTTAGGAAACATGGGGGTGCAAGCTGTGCAGAAGAGTGGGAGAAGGAAGCAGCTAAAGGAGCTTCAAGACTGATGAGGATGCAGTCACCAGCCAGACACAGGTCAATTTGAGAATCAACAAAAATGACGATGATGGGAGTGGGCAACAACATGTGGAATAAAGTATACCCACTCCCAAAATAACACTAAAAGGGGGGGGGGGATGAGGAGAAACTTCTATTCGAAAGAATGTCAGCTAGTAAGGATAGATGAAATGCAGAATTAGACATTTTTTCATATTCCTTACAGGATAAATGGTTCAGGAAAAGATCACCAGTGGATATTAAAACCACTGCATGCAAGGTTGGTAGAAAACAGGAGATTCATAGTGTTGAAACATCATTTAGACATCAGTCTATTAATGATAGAAGAAATGAAGGCACCTTTCCAGTGGAGCAGTGTGGTTAGCACCTTTATTTATTTATTTAGGTACTGGGGATTAAACCCAGGGCATTTAACATCTGAGCCATATCCCCAACCCTTTTTTGTATTATATTCAGTGACAGGGTCTCACTGAGTTGCTTAGGGCCTCACCAAGTTGCTGAGGCTAACTTTGAACTTGCCATCCTCCTGCCTCAGCCTCCAGAGCTTCTGGGATTACAGGCATACATCACCACTCCTGGATGTATGCCTGCAATCCCAGTGATCAAACAAATCACCAAGACATCACCAAGTGATCAAACAAACTGTCACAAAGACCACAGTAGGCTCGAGGCGTCTTGGGAGGTAAGGCAGTGGACACTTTGCCTGCCTATATTTTTGCCAAAAAGGCAAATCTAAACCTAATTTAATTAAAGTAAAATGATCAGGGAAATTCACATTATTATACATTCAACAAGACAACTGGCTGGCCATAAAAAAAGAAAAACATAGGAGGCATTGCTTTAATCTTGTTTAAAAAAAAAAAAAGTGCTTTTTAAAACAAAATTTTTGAGACAAGAAAAAGAATTAGAATATGGACTACACGTAAGAGAATTTCATGTCAGTTATTCTTATTTTTGTCAGGTGTGATTTTACAAAGACATGTTGGGACAAATGGGAGAAATCAGAATGTAGACTAGATATTATATTCCACTAAAGCACTTATATTAATCTCATAACTGTTAATGGCTTTTTATTACACAGAAATCCTTTAAAGAGATTTTTTATATTTAGGGATAAAATGTCATAATGACTATAACCTACTTAAAAGCAGTTCAGGAAAAAAACTGTATAGAAAGGTTCAGATGCATATAATATTGGGCAAAATCCTAACAATTGTAGGTATGTGGGTGCTCTAATTCTTCAAAGTGCTTCAACACAAACATAAAAGGGAACAATATTTCCCTCTGGGCTTCAGATGAATTAGTAAACTGTCTCAGATCAACATTCCTTATTTTCCCTCCTGCTCACCGTTTTTTCTGCCCTTGCTTTGTTTTCATCTGTCTGATTCACAGTAGCTTCTGGCAAAGCTTCTGCTTTTTCTTTGAACAGATCTCCTTCTTCATCATGGAAGATACTGGCAGTGGATTTGGTGGATTTGACTTTTTCTTTAAAAAAGATATCACAGCATAAAATGACACTAGCATCAAAATCCTATCATAATATTCACAAATTAAAAAAAAAAGTCTTTCCCTTCAAAGGATATACAAAAATGTCATGCTATTTCTTATACGTAGTTATACCTTGGTAATTTTCTTCATCTTCCCCACCCTCTCTCTCTTGTTTTTTTTTTTTTTTTTTGCTAGGGAAGTGCTCCACCACTGAGCTACCACCCCAGTCCCATTGCCTTGGTATTTCTCAAAGAGCACAACAGTAGCACAAATGAAACCCTGGGCAGTTAGTTTAACCATCTAAAAGAGAAGCCTGAAGAAAGAAACATCATTTAAATAAGTCACCACGTCCACACCATTCTAAAAATCTACTTTTTAAAAATACAACTATACAGAAACAGATAAAAACAAACCCTGAAATGCCCCAGAACTCTACCTGCCCACCCAAACAAGACAGACATCAGAAATAGTTTGGAATATGTGCTGCTAAATTCCCAAAAGTTAATATAATAATTTTAGGTACTAACAAGACTATAAATGAATTATAAGACAATCTGAGCAATGTGCCCTACCTTCTGCATTTGCCACTTAATGTACCTAGAAAATCTTCCCAAGTCCACATGTACAAACCTTGTTCTCTGAACTCCACTTAATGGAACAACCACAGCTTACACTACTGGGTGGTTTCCAACCTTTAATTCCCATGAGCACTGCTGCACTGAATGAGGCATGGGTCACTGAAATGAGGGTACTGACTCATGAGTGTCCTGATAGTCATCTGTCAAGGAATGTGGCAACAACTTTTTTGTGATGCCAAACCAATTCTCAAAGATGTCCATTGAGTGAGGGACCTCAGACTATTGTCATTTCATTAACTGTCATTTCAGGTTATGGGTCTGGGTGTGTTATGCACCTGCCTGCACTCTTTCTAAAAGAGCTAGACTATCATTTCTCCTCATGTTTTTGCTTCTATCCCTACTTCCTACACCTAACACTGGAAAAGGAGAGTTAGTCCAGATGGTCTGCTTCAAAATACATTCTGAACTCATCTATTCCTTATACCACCCTTTCTTTTTTTCAAATTGTTAAAAGTATGTACACCTTAGTCATCTTTCTTTTCTGGCAAAGCCATTGAATCCTGCTCCTCCAAGTGTGACCTACAGAGTAGTGAACTCTGCCTACCAGGGAACTTGTTGGAAATGTAGATTCTCTCAGGCCCCATCTTAAGACACATTCATTCAAAACCTTCACTTTAACAAAAGCCCCTGGGAGATTAATCTGTACATTAAAGAACAAACACCTTAAGAGGAAAGACTTTATGAACACACTTATTTAAATCTGGAAGAAGAAAAGGGAGAACCAAAGTAGACAAAGAGCTAAAGTCCTGTTATTCTTGGATACTTGAGTTTTTAGCAGAGAAGAGAAACTGGGACTAAATGACTAGTGTACAATACTCTGTTCATATAATTTACTAAAGGTTGCTGGAAGAACATATAATTAAAACTTAGTAATTCCAAAGGTCAGAATTATAATTTTTTAGCAGAAATTATAGGGGAAAAGATTTCTGCTCTGAATGAGGAGGACAATAATTAGTTTCTGGAGCAGAAAATATTGGTCCATTAAACAGAGACCTCCAAGTTTGCACAACTTTTTTAAGTATAGATGAGACAATCACAAAAACACTTGAGAAGAGATTCTGGAACTGAAGACACACAGAACTAGGGAGCTATGTCCTTTTTAGGTCAACATTCTTTTTCTAACTTCAGAAACAGGTACCTGTCTTGGAAGGTTTGCTGCAGGATGCTGCAAAAAAGTCATCTTCATCATCATCATCATCGAAGAGGCCAGCAGGAGCTGGGAGGTATGAGGTCTTCCCTGGAGTGGGCTGCTCAGGCTTCTGGGACTCCTTCAGTGATGGAGCAGAGGGGGCCCCAAATACATCAGTGTCCCCTGGGGGTGGAAAGACAAGACAGCCACAACTGAGAGCCAGGGGAGCCTCCTGAAAAAAACCAATACTATCTACCAAGAAGTATTAGCTTCAGTTTATACACAAAACACAAAGACAAATAACCTCTATTTCTTACTGCTTGGGATCATACCACAATGCAGAATGACCTGGGCAAACACACAAAAAAGTCCAAGGCCACAGATTGTTTTGTTTTTGTTGTTTTGGTGTGGTGCTCAGGATCATGTGCATGCTATGCAAGCACTCTACCACTGAGCTATCCCCTCAATCCCCCAGGCAACTGATTCTAAGAGAATATGAGCTGATGTCAGAAAACAACCTCTTTTAACATACTGTTCAATGCCCTCTGAAGCTTCCAGGTACCTCTTATTCTCCAGTCATGCCCTAGAAAATTACAGCTTAAAAAAAATGACAAAACATTAATTGTATACTTATTTAAAAAACAAACACCATGTTACCTAAAAACACAGACACAGCTCCTGCTGGGATTTTCTTTCCAGGTTTGGTGGATGAAGACTCTAGATAAAGAAAGGGACGATCACTTCACAAAGAAAATAACTTTCCTAACTGTTAAACTCACCTTTCCTGAATCATACGCAACATGACACATACCTAAATAGGAAACCTGTTGAAACTAATTTTTCCTAAGTAAGCCATTTAAAAATTCTTGGGTATTTTTGTTCTCTAACAACGCCAAGAGTTCTCCCTGAGGATTGATATAGTCCAGCTGTAATTTCTGGGGAAGGTCATATGACTACAGTCAAACAGCAGTAGTGGGGACTACTAGGGGAGGCAGGGACAAAGCAACCAGGTCCCACAAAATAATTCTAACTCTATTCCAGCTTGATGAGCTGAACAAGGAAAAAGGAGTAGTACAAAGTGTGAGACATCAATGAAAAAAAGTGAAGACAATAACAGCAAAGAAGAAAATGACATAAGTCAGTCATCAGGAGACAAAAGGTAGAAAACAGAACCCAAAGGACAGTGAGCTGATGTCCCAATACGTATGGGGAGGATTCCAACCCTGAGGAAATGTTGTCTGGTCAAGTTRCTTAAAACAACTAATTCCCAAGAACTACCTCAAATCTAATAAATCTAATAAAACTGCAGGTTCACAAAAAAAATTATAAACTTTTCAAAAACTCGAAACATGGGCTGGGGATATAGCTCAGTATTAGAACACTTGTCCAGCATGTGGAGGCCTGAGGCCTGGGTTCAATCTCCAGTATTAAAAAAAAAAAAAAAAAGTAACCCACTCTACACAGATGATTCTGATGCACAAGAGCTGGGGAATTATTGATGGCCAACTTATATGCAGAATATTAAAAGTGCTTCTTTGAATTTAACTTCTTTAAATTAAAGATATCATAAACACTACTACAGAGTACTTTTCCTTTTTGTGAATTCTCTCCCAAAAAAAGAGGCAAATCTGCATTTTAGTTTATAGATGTAATGTTTTTTCTAAGACATGAATGAGTGAAATCAAACTATTTTCAACTGGGCCAAGAAAAAAACAACAGCTTTCAGCTCAACAAAGAAACAACTTTGGGCATTTCATCTCCTTACAGGAAAGAAACAGTTGTGAAACCCCACAAGGAAAATGCAGAGTAGGTCCAACCCCAGCTTACCTTCATTAATGGGGGCTTGAGGTTGCTGATCCCGGGGGGCTTCCCTGAAGAGGTCACTCTAGTTGTAGTAGGTATGTGACAAAGAATTTAAAAATGTAAAGGTAAATATAGCTGCATTTGAAGATTTCTAAGGAAAAGTACCCTGTAATTCAAAGCTATATATGTACTGTTCTGACAGAAAATCAGTCATCAAGTGAAGACTATTGCAAAATAGAACCTTATGTAATTTGGGCCTGCTTAGGAATTAAATACAAAGATCAAATAAGGTAAGAAATAATCACCTATCTGACCAAGTAAATCCTTCACTATTAACACTCACTCTCACATTCTCTCCTCACCTACCAAAGGACAGCAGGAAATAGTATTTCTCACTCTATGATTCTGAAATATGTCCCAAAATAGGAAAACAGAAGGAACTTCCAAATAAAAAGCTATTTTTCTCCTATATTTCTTTCTTATGAACCCATGACAAACAGCTATAGGAAACATAACTGAGTACTGCTCACAAACCTCCTCATCATCATCATCATCAACTCACCTCTTCATCATCATCATCAAAAAGTCCTTGTCCTCCACTGAACAGTCCGCCTCTAGAACCAAATGGTGAAAAGTCTTCATCTGTCAACTTGGGGGGTGCAAATAAGTTATCTTCTTCATCTAGCAAGCAGAAATGTTATGCAACAAGAGTTAAAGTGTGTTTGGAACCCAGATTCCTGGGGCTGCCTCTACAACATCCACAACACTGGAATGGAATTTAATCATCTCTAACCAGGAGCACCTGAAGGCACACTTGCAGATTTCATACAAAAACCTATTAAACAGTTCACTGAGTCCCTCAAAAGGGTCTTGGGGCTCTCATTCTCAAGTTGGTAAATGTCCAGAGCATAGTCAATTCTTCAGGAATCCTCCTAGACACATTTACTTTGAAGTGAGAACATAGCTCAATTGTCACATTCAAGACCCATCTCCCCAAAAATCTAGGGGAGAAGCAGGCTGAAGAAAGAGATCTACAGATGGACATAGCAACAAGATGAATGTACATAATGGACATTACTATAAAATACAAAAGGGCCTGCTATAGTCTTTACTGAAAATGCATGCAAACAGTCAGGTAATGGCATCTATAAAAATTTAATAATTTAAATGTTTACAGACATTTTGCTCCACATCCACCCCTCACCCCAGGACCCCAAAACATGATCTTTGATTGTTTTTGGGTTTTGTTTTTAATATTTTTTTTACTTGTAGTTGGACACAATACCTTTATTTCATTTATTTATTTTTATGTGGTACTAAGGATTGAACCCAGGGCCTCACACATGCTAGGCGAGCGTAGTTCTACTGCTGAGCCACAACCCCAGCCCCAAGTAGTTTTGAAAAAGAGTTCACTTGTCAGCATCTAAAGCAACACTTTATAAATGATATATAAACAATATTCCTGAGTCTAAAAGGCTCCTTAAATAATCAAATTGAGGGGAAAGGCCTACCATCCGAAGGTGTTCTCCTTTCCTTCTTCTCTTTTAATGTCTTCCGGGATTTTGCTTCTCCTATGGATAAGATTTGAATATTTCTATTTTAATAAGACATAGTCCATCCTTAGTTTTTGTGTGAGTATTTTTTCTCTCTACTATTATATGATATTCACTCTCTCTCTCTTTCTCTCTGATTGTCTATATGTCTGTCATCCTCATGACTCAGGCTAAAGACAGACATTCAACTTCATATCTCAGCTCCAACAGAGCACTTAACCCAATGCCTTACAAATAGAAGGCATTCAAGAGAGTCATCTTTGTATGTCAAAAGGTTGCTGCTTATATGCCAAGATCATCTTCATATCAGGACTGTACTTTTTCAAGAGATCATTCTGATATCTATCCTATTAAATAACTACAATATACTACATAGTGTATTTTCTTATTTAGTCAATACATTGGAGTAAACATTTAGTCAGGAACTCAATCTAGTGCTCACAGTCCTCTGGAGTACCCATTAATTCCCTGGAATTGCATGTAAAATCTTATATACAAATGCACATGTTCATTTTTCTTCCAGGGTTCACAGTGTTCCATTATCAAAAGCGGTCTATGAATCAAACACAGAATAAGAACTACAATGTAATTTGAAAGGGAACTCCACCCTCAGTGAAGTCAGCAGAGGCTCCCACACGTTATTTACTACCCCCATTAACTATCCTCTGAGGCTCACCTATTTGCTCCTCTTCTAGTCGGTTAGAGGCATCCCCTTTGATCCTAGCTGCCAGCTCATCGGCAAATGATGTAGGTCTTTTCTATGGACAGAAGAGAACAAAAGAATTACTCTTATAATAGATAACTTTTGGTCACCACAAAATTATACATATCAACACTTTCGAAGAAACTGTATCAAAGAAAAAAGTTTAACTAGATGAATTTAAACATATGCACACTATGGAGATAACGAAAAGAACGTGATTCATAATAGTGTTCCTTCAAAAGGAGATATGTGTTCTTTGTTACCTTATTTTTTTACTAGCACACTTTAATACCTGAAAAATCTAAACAAGAAAATTATCATAAGGTGCTTGGTAAGTGACGAAAGAGCTTTAAGTCTTAAAACTACAGAACTGAATGTATTCTGAATGATCTGAGCTGTAAAATTGTAACATTGAAAGAAGATGACAATTGTATGGCAGGTGGGGATGCTCACCATTGTTTTCACCAAAGTGTAAATGCAATTACAAATATGACACAAAAGATGACTACAAATGTAAGTGAGTAGACAAGGACTGAGTCATGGGCACCATTTCTAAAATCTGGCCAAGTGACAGCAGCTACAGTCTTTCTTACTAGTCTAGTATTTTCTTCAATATCTTCAATATCTTCCTCTTCCTTCTCAGAGTCAGCAAAAAGGTCACCATCCTCCTCTTCCTCTTCATCACTCATTTGTGCAGTGTGCTGAGTGTAAAACAACAGATTTGAACTATTAGTCACAAATCATCAGGCTCAAAAAGAGATATTCTCGTGGCTAGGGTTGTGGCTCAGCCTTAGAGCACTCGCCTAGTACGTGTGGGACCCTCAGTTCAATCCTCAGCATCACATATAAATAAATAAAGGGACTGTGTCCACCTACAACTAAAAACATTGAAAAAAAAAGAGAGAGAGATACTGTCACTTAGTTTTGCATTTCTCCCTTCACAAAGGGAATAACTAATAGATAGATTGATAACAATGATAGTAATGTAGCAAACAAACAATGAAGCAGAAAGTATATGTGGCAGAACAAATAATACACAAGAATTAATTAGAATACAAACAAAGAAATTACTTTTTTGCGGGGGATAATACTGGGAATTAAATCCAGGGACACTTTTCCACTAAGCTACATCCCCCCAGCATTTTAATTTATTTTATGACATTTTAATTTATTTCACTAAGATACCCAGGCATACCTTGAACTTGCTATCCTTCTACCTGCTGAGTAGCTGGGATTAATTACAGGTGTGTGCCAACATGCCTAGCTAGAACTTATTCTTTCAATAAGGATGTAATAGCAAGAACATACAACTGAAATACGAAATATTCAAGAAGTTCATCACAAGAGAAATAAATAAAACAATGTCTTATTTTAATAAAAACATTAGGTAATAGTAAAAAGAAATAAACTATAACAACTAAAGAGCCATCCAAGTAGACCAAGTAAAAAAGAGAATGACAAATCTAGCCTAATACCCTGCCCCACTGTACTGTATAATTTCTAAGAATTCAAATGTATTTGCAGAATACATTCCATTATAAAAGCAATGGAAAAGACTTAGAAAGGCACATTGCCAGATCATAATATCAGCTGCCTCTGAGGAGTATAAGAAGAAATGATGGTGGGCTTAAATACAACCTTATTTGTTGAATTCTAATTTTTAATTTTTCTAAAGGTACCTAGTATGTCTAATTTGTACAATCTTTAAAAGGTTTTTTTTGTTGTTGTTTTCTTTTACTGTTTAAGTCACTAAGAGAATTGTCAGCACTATGCCAAAAGGATTTTATTACCTAATTTAATCCTTAAAACCGTGAGGTTAGCTATGGCACACAAAACCAGTCTAACTCAATAAAAACAGATGGGAATTCAGTGTTTTTTAAACACTGTATTGTACTGTTTGAAAAACTGCTTGTATTTATAAATATTAACAGCAAATTTCATAGAAAAAAAGTATCTTCTGACATTAGACTGCTTATTAAAACTATAGAGACCAACCATATTTCTGAATACAACCTGGAAAATAGAAGTACCAATCAAAAAGTACAAAATGCTTCATTAGATTTCCATTACCAGGTGTCAACCTACTTTACATACAGAGATATGAAAAACTGTGGTATATGTGTGATAAGAATTGTAATGCAAAAAATGTACATGTATAAAGACATGAACTGGCGTGAACATACTTTATATACAAAGATATGAAAAATTGTGCTCTATGTGTGTAATAAGAATTGTAATGCATTCTGCTGTCGTGTATTTAAAAAATTTTTTTAAAAAGATTCCCCTTACTACCACATATCAGCATGTTTGAAAACATAGAAGAGGCTAGAGATATAGTTTATAGTAGAGCGATATGTATGTGTGAAGTTCAATCCCCACTACTAGAAAACACAAACACACACACTTACACACAAGTAATTTTACAAAGCAAATTACAAAGACTATTCAAAATGACAAGGAAAAGCCGGGCACAGAGGTGCATGCCTGTAATCCCAGCAACTTGGGAGGTTGAGGCAGGAGGATCAGGAGTTCAAAGTCAGCCTCAGCAAAAGTGGGCACTAAGCAACTCAGTGGGATCCTGCTGTAAATAAAACACAAAATAGGTCTGGGGATGTGGCTCAGTGGTGGAGGGCCCCTGAGTTCAATCCCTGGTACTCCCCACAAAAATATGACAAGGAAAACATACTGACATAAAAGAACAAAGAATAAAATATGCATGTTACAAAAAGAACATGCCCTTTGATAGATAAACAAAAATTAAGATAACTTGCTAAGACAGTAGGAAAGATTATATTCATCTTGTGATCATTAATGTCTCAAGATTTTAAAATGAGGGCTTGGGATGTGGCTCAAGCGGTAGCGTGCTCGCCTGGCATGTGTGCAGCCCGGGTTCGATCCTCAGTACCACATACAAACAAAGATGTTGTGTCCACCGAAAACTAAAAAATAAATATTAAAAATTCTCTAAAAAAAGATTTTAAAATGAGAAGAGGACTCATAGTTCAGTTTGGATAATGGGGTATTCTTTTTATAGGATCTTTTTCAAAATTTCTTTTTTTTTCTTAAGGAAAATGAAATCATAAAGCAAAATTGTGAAAAAATACAGAGAGAGTAGTAAACATAAATACAAAGGAAAATTAGTTGTAAAACATGAAAAAACCCTCACTTTGTCATAAATGTTTCAAAAGTAATTTTAATATATATGTAACACTTCAATTAAAATTTAGAAGTAAATATCATCAGATGTATAAATATCCCACCATTACAAATAATTACAGTGCACCAATAAAAGAATTATGGAAAAAAAACAGAAATAAAGTCACTTCAATACATGAGCCTTACCTGGTTTTGATCATTGTCACTATGATTGGCAAAATCATCATCGGACTCCTAGTGGGGGGGAAAATAACTTTGTTGTTTACAAAGGCTTTACTTAGAAGCACAGAAATGATTTTAGATAAAGACTGGGGATAGTTTAGCAGAGGAAAAGCTCTGACACTCAATCTCTCATACTGACTACTTGCCACCTTAAGTATCAAGATGCAAATAAGGTGGATAGTTGACAATTATTATGAAAGGTCCTATCAGCTAATGTAATTTTTGTGGTCCAGTGAAATACCTCTAAACATTTGTTCTTGGCATCTGTACTTTACATTCTAATCTTTGGATTCAAAGTAAGAGCTACACATTTAATTGACTAAATTTTCAAAAGCTGGTGTGTTATTTTACATTTTGGATCAACTTTCTATACTCCCTCTAGGTAGAATAACTACTTCATCAGGACCAAGAAGGGAACATAAACAATTTAGTAAAGAGCTGTATCAACAGGTTAAAAAAAAAAAAAAAAAAAAAAAGATTCAGTGAATAACTATCTATTGTAGCAAGGCTGCTTAAAGAAAAGTCACTTCTTACTGCTAGGATTTTGTTTGGAAGGCTGAAGGAAGGATGGTTGGGAGGGAGACTAGAGAAGGCAGTATGGATGAGAAGACAAGAATGTGCACACAAAATAGTGTCCTTTTGGAAATCTGATACTAAGGACCATCCTTCAAAGTTTCTCTGCCCTTTGCAATAATGAATACTCCATCTAAGAATAACTCAAGACTAGATCAGGGAGTCAGACTACATGCTATAAATACAAAAATGCTAGAGAATGCTTTAAAGCATCCTCTCATCTAGAAAGTTTTGTAGTTAAAACATGTTAAATGTAGATTTTTTTTCTGCTAGGATTATACAGAAAAAAATACATTCAAAGACTTTATCATAAGTGGAGATTTCACCAAAATATCTAAGCTGCCTCCTCAAGATAAATGGGAAGAAAAGGAATTTGGCAAGGTGGGAGGGAAAGTAAGGGTAAAAGAAATCCAAGCAGTGCTGTTTCTAACACAAGACAAAAAGAAAATCTAACACCAAGGATAAAACTTCAGAGTATGTCCGGGCATGGTGGTACACACCTACAGTACCAGATACTCAGGAGGCTGAGGCAGAAAAATCATTTGCACAAAGGGGTTTGAGACCAGTGTAGGCAAGCATAGCCAGACTAGTCACAAAAAAAGAACAAAACAAACAAACACACAAAAAACAGATCACCACCAATTCACAAAAATGTTTTGTACTTAGCTGGCTGAGCACATCCTAAGTTTCATGCTTACCGTGACCCAATCATAGCAAACAGTCCTTACCTCTTCTTTCTCTTCTTCACTGTCTACAATACTGCCACGATCGCTGCCTACAGAACCCTCTGTTGAGAAGAAGATAAGGGTTAGCACTAACATGCATAAGAAAATGTCCTTAATGTCCTTCCTCAAAATCACAAACAATAGCATGAAAACTATCTATACCCACTAACTGAATTAAAATTATATTTATTACATTAAGAATAGAAAATGTGTATGGTCTCAAAATATCTTACCACAAAAAAGAAAAAAAATATTCATAAACTGGCTTGTATTCTTCAAAGGTGTCAAGGTCATGAAAAGCAAAGAAAGCTGAGCAAATGTATCAGACTAAAAGATGACTAGAGAGATTTGACAACTAAATGCTGTAGGGGATCCTGGATTGAGACCTGGACCAGAAAAAGATAGTAAAAGATATCAATGGACAAATGGCAAAATCTAACTATGACTGAAGATTAGGTAACAGTATTATGTTCAATAAAACTTCCTGATTTTGGTCATTTTACTAGAGCTATATAAAAGAATGTCCTTGTACTCAGAAAACAGAAACATTTAGGAGTAATAGGACACAATGTCTCTAGTAGTTTCAGGAAAAAAAAAAGTGGATATATATATATATATATATATATATATATAGAGAGAGAGAGAGAGAGAGAGAGAGAGAGAGAGCGCAAGATCAAACAAATGTGGTAAAATGTTAACTGACAAACCTGGGAAAAGGGCATATATGTGAGTTCTCTGCACTATTCTTACAATATTAATGTAAGCTCTCAAATTATTTTAAAATTAAAAGATACAAATGTTAAAAGTAACAAGACTATTTGGTGAAGAAAAGTACCTTCACTAGACAGCTCTCCAAGTCCTACATCTTCCTGCTCCATGAACAGCTTTGACCCAATGAGATAGGGTAAAGGACGATCAATATATAGATCCTACAAGAAGTGAAAGGGAACAGCCATTAAACACTTATGTTGAAAAATAAAATCAAGTGTTTCACTGGACATCCAATTCCATCTGACTAACTCAAACAAGCTGCCTAATAAAAGCAGAGAATAAGAAACACTGCAGAATTTGAAAAGAAGAAAAATCACTGGTTTTAAAAATGTCAAATTCTAGGTAAAGATGGCGAGTAAAGTTGAATCCTCCCCAAGCACCTCATTAACAAAATGGAAAAACCCTGCAAAAAGTTTACCATCAGTAACCAAATGAGGAAAAGGGTACGATCTCATAGTAAAATGTGAAAAAGGAGGACCAAGGAAAGAAACTTCTGGGGAGCTTTGATGAGTCCTACCCCAGCCTTCCTCCTCTAGTTAGCCAAAAAAAAAAAAAAAAAAAAAAAAAATGCATTTGTGTATGTGAACTCCAATTCAAATCTCACCTCTGCATTTGGTTATTTCCTCAGCATGCTTCTTTCCAAATTTAGGGCTATTACTTATGATTCTCAAGATGTATGTTTTTTATGTACAAAAGCAGTATAAAGCTGTCCTGGTAAGTCAAAACGCTTTAAACATGTAAATGTATGTTATATTTTAATTTATAAGGCACTTAGTGCTACAAATACTCTCTCAAAATCAATAAGGCAACCTACTTTGTATACCACTGTGTAACTCGTGTTGCCACATTATCTCCTTTAACAATCCACGGAAAAAAAAGAGTAAGGCAATAAACTAGAGGAAGCCTGTTCAGTAATGTTCATAGTGGATTTACTTGTAATAGCCCAAATCAAGAAACAATCCAAGTGCTCTTTGAACTCATCTACAGTCATCCATAGCACAAGCTACAGAATCTCTACTTCTAATGAGGCTCCCAGTCCTAACCTCAATTCAAACCTCATCTCTGCCCTAAAGATTATTGGGAGAGTGGATTGGGGAGATGTTGATCCAAAAGAACAAAATTTCAGTATGACAGGAGGAATGAGATCAAGAGATCCATGGTACAACATGGTAACTACAGTTAATAACAATGTATTGTGTTTCACAATAGCTAAATTGTGGATCCAACCTAGATACCCTTCGGTAGATGAATGGAGAAAGAAAATGTGGTAAATATACACAATGGAATATTACTCAGCATTAAAAGAGAATAAAATCATGGCATTTGTATGTAAATGAATGGAATTGGAAAATAAAATGCTAAGTGAAGTAAGCCAATCCCAAAAAAACAAATGCTGAATGTCTTCTCTGACACAAGGGTGCCGACTCATAATGGGAATGGGTGGGGAAGAGCATGGGAGGAACAGACAAAATTTAGATAGGGCAAAGGCAAGGGAGGGAACACTCTAGACTGAGATGTCACTTTTCAAAAGAAAAGACGGTAGAATAAGATGGACATCATTACCCTAAGTACATGTATGAAAACAAGAATGGTGTGGCTCTACTTTGTATTCAATCAGAGACACGAAAAATTGTGTTCTCTTTGTGTAATATGAATTGAATTGCATCCTGCTGTCATATATAACTAATTAGAATAAATAAAATTTAAAAATCAATTATAAAAAAAACAATGTATTCTGTTTGAAAATCACTGTGAGTGTATATTTTAGATGTTCTTAGTATAAAAGGTTACTATGTGAGGTATGTGTCAATTAATTAGCTCAATTAAGTCATTCCACAATATATACATACTTCAAAACAATATGTTGTACAAGATAAATACATATAAAATTCTGTCAATTAAAAATAAGTAAAACTTCTGAAGTTTAAAAAAAAAAAAAAAAAACCCAACTCAAATCTCATCTTCACCTTAACATCCCAGTCAGAGGTCAATACCCTCTCAGAGCACTTATGATGGGTACTCACATAAATAACTCCTCTTTCCCACCAGAACATAATGAGCACCTTAGAGCAGGAGCCACACTTTGCTTGCACCTCCCACCCTGGCAAGCAGCCTTTTACCTCTTAAGTGATCAATGCTTGTTTTTAAAGCAAGTCTTTCTGATGAGTTCAATGTAAGTAACACACTCACTTTCTACAGATGGAGTCTATGTCATACTAGTCCTGTGCCCAAGTAAAGACCCCAAGACATATCACTAAATGTGGTACAACATTAAATACCTGAATCAAATGTCTTTACCTTAGGTTCAAGGATCAGTTCCACCCGCTCATTAGCATCATCTTCTTCAGAGTCTGAGTTGCCTGCTTTTATGTCAAGTTGTTCAAATGCACTGTCCAATACTTGCAAACCATAGTTCACAGCCTCCTGGACTTTAGGAATCAGATCTACTTCTTTCTGTTCCCTGGTCTTCTCCTATAAACAAAATACTATTCAGTGTGAATGTTTAATGTATTTATATCACCATAAGAAAATACTGTTAATGTTCTCTAAAGCCTAGCCTCATGTGAAAAATAAAAATCTAAATTAAAAATGTTAACAAAATTCAAGATTCTGACCAATGCCTTAACTCTCAAGTTTGCAACTTTCTGGGCATGCATCAAATCACCTAAGATCCCGGAGTTCCAGGCTTTCCATCTACAACCAAGTTCAAATACTGGATGATGGTTCAGTTAATAAGTTGTGTGAAAGTACCCTAACAATTAATGGCATCTCACTTCCCCACTGCTAGAGGAATACAGGGCCTAGATTTTCAGATTCACCCCATGAGTATATTCCTTAGTTAATGGCCCCTTGGCCAATTTTAGGAGCTAAAATTTAGACGGAAACACTCTAGACTGAGATGTCATGAGTAATTACCACTGATTTATAAATTTGCTTCACATCAAGGAAAGGTCAGTTTCATCTCTACTATCACAGAACAGTGCTTTCCCTCAAAACAAGTCTGTCCATATCGCCAACCTGCTGAAACTTTTCCACAGGTCTCTAGTTCTTACAACAGCTCTCAATGGCAGTCCCCTTGTACACAGCACATGTGTTATCAGTTGTGAGAAATATTTAAAAAATATTTAATAATTTTCTCTTCTCAAAATATTAACTCTAGAAGGAACCAAACCATACAGCACTGTTTTGAAGGCCAAAGGAGAAAACTCTATGAGTATTTTTTATTTTTTACCTCAAGTATTGAAGTCTTTGTACTGAGTCTGTGAAAACATGTTCATGAAACATACAGTGCTTTTTCTTATTTATATTTGCAGTGCTGGGGATTAAACCCAGGGCTTCATGCATGCTAAGCTAGTGCTCTACCACTGATGTATACCTCCTTCCCCTGTGGCTTTTAGAAAATAGTTCACTAAATACCCATTTTTCATATTTAATGCTGACTTGGTATAACCAAATACTATTCCACTTAAATGGTTAGCAAGTCCTTGAGTACCATTAGAAATAAAATATCCTGATTTTCCTAAAAATCCTGGGAATAGTCAGACTGTAGCTAGTTTGTAATATCCTCTTATAATCTAACAGCTTCACCTGTTACAAGCAATAGTTACTGACAGAGCACTAACCTTTTCAAGTGATTTACATTTTCTGAGTCAGCTAGAGCTCCCTGAAAGCTACTCCCATAATAAATGTTCCCCCACTCCCCTGTGCCTTCCTGGGTGGGAGACAAGAGGAAGCAACTCAGCCAGAGTACTAGGAAATCAGTATGGCCCAGAACCTCTTAGTGCCAATAATACCTAAATGTGAGATCAGGCAGGAAGAATGTTTATGCACTTCTGTTACAATGAAGCCACAGGAAATAAGGCAGGAACCACTGCTCCTTGGCCTTTTGGCCTATTTTCTGAAGCCCTCCAGCAACCAGTTCTTACCCGTTTTCCTTCCTCTTTGCTTGGCCACCAGTTAATTTATATATGTGAATTTCCATGTATGTATGTATATTTATGTGACTGCAAAATCAGGCTTTCACATAATTCTGGCCTGAAATACCAGACACATCATCAACTCTGAACTCTGGCTCATGGCATTCCCTTGCTGAAAAGCCCCACCCACCACCTCAAAATATGGCCCTTCTTTCTTCCTCCAGCCAAAGTCTCATCCTTCCTATCTCTACCCACCAGTACTTCCTCTTCTGAACTTCCAAAACAGTTAAGCCACACAGCTTAGAAACTCTAGGTCCTGTGGTCACCAGTACTATAACCTCTCGAGAGAAAGTATCCTAAGTTAACGGCCATCTGCAGTATTACTACAGAGTCAGTAACTGTTCACTGTGCAATTCCTATTCTCTATACTAACGACTCCTATAGCAGTCAAGAAGCACTCAATTGTGGGCAGTCTAGACCAATATTTATCTTATTAACATTTTGATCTGGTAGTAATAAACATCAAAGCAATCATGAGAGATAGAGAAACTCAGTCTTCAAATAACTCACCTATGTAAAATTGTACTTTAGAGGTGGCAAATTTGGGCTGGGGGTGTAGCTCAGTGGTAGAGCACATGCCTGAAGTCCTAGATTTGATCCCTAACACCACCAAAAAAAAAAAAAAAAATCGGCCAACTCCTAACCCATGGCCTAGTTCAGCAAATGTAAGAATAAATTCTACATTTTTAAAAGGCTGGAAGAGAAAGAGGAAAAAGAGGAGAAGGAGAAAAAAGGAGAGGAGGAAGGGAAAGAGAAGAGACAGACAACTAAGTGGCTTATAAAACCTCCATATTTGCTACTGCCATTTACAGAAAAGGTTTGCTGATCTCTGCTCTATTTTTATACCAGAATTCAGGAATTCAATCTACATATTACTTAATATGCTAAGTTTCGGAAACAAATAAAAAAGTTTATCTCTCCCACTTCCCCAGTATCCTTCCCCATACTAGATATCTAACAAATCTCTATCAATCTTTTACTCTAAGCTGGGAACTTAATCAAAGAGTTTTAAAAAGTACCTGTTCTGTTTTTTCTGCCTCAATCTTGAGTACTGGCTCCTCCACTTCTTCATCATACACACGCTGAATATGAAAGCAAATTCAGTTTTAAAAGGTCAAAACATTATTTGCAATAAACTGTAATATAAGAATTCAATATACAGTAACAAAAAGACAAAGATGAGGAAGGAAATGGTTATCAACAATGGCTGGAGCTACTACCAATGGGTCATAGACAAACAGCAAAAAACAATCATCAATTTACACAATTTTAAAAAATGACAAAAAAAATATAAAGTAAGTTCAACTTCATGGTTGACTAGAGTAGTAAAAACAGTAAGAAATCAGTTTTTGCACCCTTTTGTTTCACCAGACACACAATGCTGATGGGCAGTGATTAGGTACTCTCTCCAAAGCAACTGAGAATGACAACTGGAATAACTTAAAAACTAAGTAACAAGATCTTTAACATGTAGAGCAATGGATATGGTGAAGTTAAAATTTCTTTTCATCCTGTTGTTTAAAATGCCAATAAATGTTTATTATTCTACATACATGAAAGCAGAGAGATAAAATTAACCAATGACTTGCCAGAAGGCTGGGTATATAAATGACGTTTACTGCATGGCCAGGCAAGAATCTCTTTTCCAAGACAAACAGATTACTTTGCCAACTCACTGTGATTTCCTCTTTTTATTAAACTTTTCTTTTAACCACCAAAGTACAGCATAATTAAGGATAGATACTCAACTGGTAAAGTTTATGCAAACATTCCAAAATATAAAAAACTCAAATTTGAGACGCTCGAGAGATGATGAAAAAAGTCAATAAATATAAGATGATGAAAATGTTCTGGAATTTGTTGTCCATGGTTATAAAACTTTATGAATAAACTAAAAGCCTCTGAACTACATACATTTAAGAAGAATGAATCTCATGGTATATGAATTAACTCCTTCCTACCCCAACCTAACCCTTGAAATAACCAACTTAAACTTTGAGCACATGCTCCTGTTTTCTAAGGTCCTTAAACACAGATTAATGCACACATTCAGTTTACCTACCCTTCTTGTTTTTAAATAAAAACACACTTATACTGTAGATTTCTTTGCCCCATCTTTCACTTAACTTTCTCATAAACTACATTGTAGGTCAATACATATAGATTTGATTCAAACCTTTCAATTAGTCAAAAGCTTTCCACTGGTGAATATTAATATTTCCAAAGTTTGCTATTGTAAACAAAGCTGCCCTAAACACACACACACACACACACACACACACACACACACACACACACATTCCTAGGCAATAATTATTTCTATAGGCTTCTCAAAATAGCATTGTCAAATAAAAAAACAAAACTTTTCTAATCTTAACAGCATTTCTAGATTACTATGCATGAATGTGTCATAAATCACTGTCACCACCAGTGTACCCATCTATATATATCCCAAGCCTTTGGCAGCAGTGGATTCTGCCCATCTTTTAAAAAATAACCTACCAATCTGATCAAATAACATTGATTTTAAATGTAACCTCTGACCCAAGAATTCTATTTCTTAAATCTTAGTTTCAAAAAAAATATTCCTGACTGCAAACAACCGGATGCTCATGGCATCACAATTTATAGTGGAAAGTCACAAACACCAGAATTACTATGCAATTCCAATCAAATGTTTATAGGATTTTCTGTGGAATGAAATAGTAATATAAATGACATTTTGAGGTCTCAAATTTACATGGCAAATTAGAAAGTTGAAGAGAAATATGACAATTATGATAAAGTTGTGGGGAATTGCTGTATTGTGATGGATTAGAAATCTGTGGTATTTAAGATAATTTTACTAGCACATAGCAGAGAAAACCAGAAAGGCCTCAATTATGTGAAAGCCTAATTTTATAGTCACATAAACACACACATTCATTCACACAAATCAACATGATAATAACAACTACACAATAAAGGTTGTCTATACAAAAGAAAAATGGAATTGCTAATACTATACATATATGTACTCACACATACCCACTCAAGATAGTTTCTCCAGTTATAAAAAATTAAAAGGCTGGGATACAAAAAAGTCCTCACCCAAAATGTTTAGTACTCATGAGAAAAAGGGGGTAGACTGGTGTCTTTGAAGCAAAATGGCAAAATATTAAGATCTATTAACCAATGCTAGGTACTGTATATTCTTAACATTTGTGGTTGTCTGTATTTTTTATATAAATAGTTCATTAAAATCTGATATTGGATGATTGTTAAATAAATTATGATAATCATAGAAGGGAGTAGGAATAAAAATTAAGTTCACAAAAGTCTCAAAGATGTGTTAAAATGTTCATAAGTTAATATTAAAAAAAAATCAGGCTGCAAATGCACACACAGTCATCTAGAACAGGTCAAAGTTGAAACAAATAAAAGACTAGAAAGGCTGGGGGTGGTGGCACAGGCCTGCCTGAAATCCCAGGATCACAAGTTCAAAGCCAGCCTTGGCAATTTAGAGAGGCTCTAAACAACTCAGGGACACCCTGCCTCAAAATAAAAAAATAAAAAGAGCTGGGGATATGGCTCAGTGGTTAAGCACACCAGGGTTTAATCTCCAATTAAAAAAAAAATACATCAAAATGCTCAAAGGTTGATTAATCTGGGCTGGTGGAATTATAACTAATCTTCTTTTATAGATTTATCTTCTGTAAGCCTATTGTCTGCATGGAAATGCATTTACAATATACATAACAAAATATTGGCAGATGCCCCTCCATCTGATGAAATTTCAGATAATTTTTCTTTTTCTTACTTTTCTTTCCTATATCTTTCTTTATTCTTTTTTTTTTCCTTGATGGTTAAAAAGAACATCTATTTTTATAACAAGTCAAATATGCTATAATGTCACTATAGAGGAAACACAACATTGTAATTTAAAACTTTTTCTTATTTATACAAAGATATATAAGATTTCAGTGATGATCATAATTAAATTAGCCCAGGGGTGCTTAACCACTGAGCCACATCCCCAGCTTTTTATATTTTATTTAGAGAAAGGGTCTCATAGTTGTTTAGGGCCTTGCTAAGTTGCTAAGGCAGGCTTTGAACTCATAATCCTCCTGCCTCAGGCTCCTGAGCCACTGGGATAATGTAAAATTTTTTTCAGTTATCTTTTCAGATTACTTAAATTTCCTACAATTAATTGCTTAAATAATTCTGGATTCTAGACTATGAAGAAAGAACACAGAAAAATATGAATTCAATTTATATGCTGATTTTTTTCACTGCTCCTCCGAGATCAAAATTTTCTTACTCTTAATTCTAACTTTATTTTTATTTTCCTCCATCTGTTTTCCTTTTCTTTCCACATTTTTTATTGGTGTATCATAGTTGTACATAAAGATAGGATTTGTTGTTACATATTTGTACACACACACAATATAACAACATAATGTGGCCAATATCACTCCCCAGCCCTTCCCCTCTCCCTCCCCGCTCCCACCCTCTGATCCCTTTCCTCTTTTTTCTTGGGGTGCTTGGGATAGAAACCAGGATCTTGTGTGTGCTGGGCCAGTACTTTACCACTGGGCCACATTCAAAGCCCTAATTTTTTTTAACCCCTAATTGCTTCATAAAAATCAGAAATTGGGCCAGGCATGATGGCTCATGCCAGGGCTGTAATCCCAGAGGCTCAGGAGGCTGAGACAGGAGGATTGTGAGTTCAAAGCCAGCCTCAGCATTGGTGAGGCACTTAGCAACTCAGTGAGACCCTTCTCTGAATAAAATACAAACTGGGCTGGGGATGTGGCTCAGTGATTGACTACCCCTGAGTTCAATCCCCAGTACCAATAAGTAAATAAATAAAATCATAAATTGGTAATAATTTTCAGATAGAAACAGAAAAATTAAATCTTAAAATGAGACTTTAATTAAGATAGAGGTTACTTCAGAATTTAAATACCAAGAACAGCACCAATACCCTATTTTTTCCCTATTTTTTAGTTTAGTCGCTAAAACTACCTTACAAGACATAAAAAACACAATGAGTAAAGACCTAAAACTTGGGATCCTTTGAGCACAAGCAGTCTATGCATCTCAAGTACTTGGTACACAGCAGATAATCAATGCCAATTTCCTTCACCCTTCCCAGGGTGAACTCACAGTTTTATGTGCTTTGTGGCCATTTTACAATCAGATAGCCATACCCAGAACTGTTAGATATCTTTGGTATTTCCCCTCTAGGAGATGTTCCTCAACTGGGAAGAGAGAATAAAAGGTGAAGGTAGGACCATGGAAAACTGAAACAACTAGGGATTTTTTTTTTTTAACAGATGCGTAGTTTAGATATTAGGTGTCCACAAGAATGTTTAGAGGTGAAATGATTGGGTTTTAAGAGTTTTAACCTAATCAGTGCATTAATCCCCTCCTAGGGATTAACTAGGTGATAACATAATGGTAGGGTATGGCTGGAGGAGATGGGTCACTGAAGTGTACCTTTGGGGGTGAATATTTTGACATCAGTGTGAGAAGAACTCTCTCTCTGCTTCCTGGTGGCCATGTCCTGACCTACATTCCTCCACCACATTCTCCTGCCTCACCTTGAGCCCAGAGCAATGGATCCAGTCTTCTATGGAATGAGACCTCTGAAAACATAAGCCTCAAAGTAAACTTTCCTTCTCTAATTGTTCTTGTCAGGTCTTTTGGTCACATCAGCAAAAAAGCTAACTAAAACAGATTATACACAGACCTTGGTTCTTTCATTTGTTCATTCATTCAAATATTATGAATATTCAAATATTCATAAGAGTCCCTATGTATTAGGTTTGTGATGAACCCTACTGATATCTAGAACAGAGGGTCAAAGACGACGACGTAATAATTGAGCCAAGAAGTGGAACACAGATATCAATCAAAGGACAGAGGCACATGGATGATTGTAAGCCAAGGCCTGATGGTAACATGGCACTGGGTACCTTCAAGAAATAAAAGGTTGCAGCATCAAAAGCAAGGGGTATCATCATTTAAAATAAGACAGGTCCAGAAGGCAGCCTGTAAGGAAGTTTGGGGCAATAAGGCTCTGAGACATGCATTGGCCTAATTGCTGAGTTTCAGTAACCACATCTATTTCCTCAAAAGAAAGGGTGAAAAGGAGGGGGGGAAAATGACTCCAAAAATAGCATTTATAAATTAACAGGAAGATGACCTGAAAAATTAATTTAGGTTTCATTTTGGAACAGAAAATTTTAATTTTACAAATCTAAAAATTTTAAAACAATGGACTTTAAAAAATTCTCCTTTAAGATAGCTTCTAAAAAAACAGAAGTCATTATAGGCAAATACATGCATGAAACTCCTAAACTGACAGATTAGTGAAACTTTAAGAATTAGAGCTGTTCTTCTGCAGACATTTAAGCATAGTAGAAATAAGGCTACAGAAAATAAACACCATTTTTTTGAAGAAAATAACTGGGTCATCTTTTGATTAGACACTAAAACACTGGCCAGTGTTAATTAGCAAGAATCCTTCAGGATTCCCTCTTGAGCCTTTACTAAAGATACTAATTTTTCTTGCCCTAGAAAGTCTTGATGGTTCTCGCCCTAGAAAGTCCAGAATGTTTCACAAACTCTAAAATGCACTGCTGTTTCTAAGGTTAATTAATAAAATGCAGAAACCTATCAGACTCTGAATAAATGTTTCCAATGAACTACCACAAAACAAAATGGTACCACCATTCTAGCCTGAATAGCAATATATAAGTAGTACAAAATATAAGGATTGGGGGGAAAAAAAAACACAATAGAAACCAGATCACTGCCACAGGTATTATCAGCAAATAGACTTTTTTGAAGTTTTATTAAGCAGTAGCTGTCCCCTCAACATCATCAGCTGCCTGTCACAAATGCAAAGAACCTCTAACATGTTTTTAGGCATTACAGGAAGGTTAAGAAGCATTTACACTTGACAGTGACACCAAAAAGGAATCCTGACAGAAGAACGGAGTGGAAGAGGCATAGGACATAACATTAAAGGAATGAAGAGATGGATGGAAAAATAGAATCCACAAAAGTAAACAGAAATAATGAACTGTAACTAAGACAAACAAAAACCACACACACAAAAAAAAAATCCACAAAACCTATACCATGGAAAACTCTGAATCAAAGTAAACTTCAACAGAAAAGAAAATCTAGAGAAAAAGGGACACCTGAAGACAGTGACTCAGAAAATAAACTTATGAGGGATGGGGATGTGGCTCAAGCGGTAACATGCTCGCCAGGTGTGAGGCGCTGGGTTGGATCCTCAGCACCACATAAAAGTAAAATAAAGATGTTGTGTCCACTGAAAACTGAAAAATACATATTAAAAAATTCTCTCTCTCTCTCAAAAAAAAAAAAGTTAAAAAAAAAAAAAGAAAAGAAACTTATGATACTCCTCACCCCTTCTCCCCACAAAAGACTCATCAGGTACCAATCCAGGACTAGGCTGGTATAGGAATGTCAAGTATAAAAGAAAAGCTTCTAAATCTATTTCCTTGCTCAGTCTAGAACTGTAACATTGATTGAAAGAAGTGCTGAGCACCTGATATAGCAAAAAAGGTTCACAAAGAAAGTAATGACAATAATAGGAAGGACAAATTTGGCATTATGAAAAAGTGACTGGGCAGCGTTCACCAGGAAAGTAGAGTCAGCTTCTAGGCTGACTGTTACTACTATTACTATTATTAAGGTTTTGTGTCCAGGGCCTCATGCATGTTAAACAAGTGCTATACCACTGAGCCACATGCTTGGCCCATTAAGCTCTTTTTTTTTTTTTTTTTTAATATTTAGTTTTTAGTTGTAGTTGCAGTTTAATTTAGTTGGACACAATACCTTTATTTTATTTATTTATTTTTATGTGGTGCTGAGGATCGAACCAAGGGCCTTGCACGTGCTAGGCAAGTGCTCGACTGTTGAGCCACAACTCCAGCCCTTATCTGACTCTTTTAGTCAAAGAATGTTCAGAACCAAGCAAGGACATTCAGTGTAGAAAATAACTAGAGGCTGAACACCTCTAATCCAAAAATCTAAAATCCAAAACTTTTTGAGCACTATAATGACCCTCAAAAAATTCTGGATTTTAGCACATTTCAGAATAGGTATGCTAACCTGATAGTCTATGCAAATATCCCAAAATCTAGAAAACCCTGAAACCTGAAATACATGTAATCCTAAGCATTCCAGACAAGGAAGTTTGAATGCCATTATATTTGAAACTCATGAGTTTGCCATTAAGAAAAATAGCTGGCAAAGAGATTTCTAATACTTTTATGAAGATCTTTATCCATATATAGTTCCCCAAAAAAGGTTAGAAGTAGCATTACAACCTGAGCTACTGAAATATGCACAAATACACACTGCATAAGTTGCCTGCATGGCATTACTGGTATTGTTTTAATCCTAATTGAAGGACTTTTATAATCTTGCAATTTTGAAAATCTTTTCTATTGCGTCACATTTAATGACTGCAGGAGGTAGTCTATTTTAATAATTATCTTTTCACAAATTAACAATCTCTGAGAAACAGATAAGCTTAGCTAAGCTTCATCTCTTAACAGTCTCCCCTTTACTCCACTTGGCTCCACAGACACCTACATCCTCCTTTTCATTCTAGAATTATACTATTTACCAAGATAAAATTTCTAAGTTACCTGTATTCCTGATATCTGACAGAAACTCAATATATAGACCAAAATCACTTGTGGTTTAGGTGAAATTCAGTAACCTGTTTGTAGCTATACTTACAGAATGTGCCATGATGGACCTTGAGTATCATACAACTTAGCACAACTGTCATCTGCTCTGAAAACTAAAAAAGAATAGAAAGACTAGAAAATAAGGACATTTTATCATTAAATTTCTTCTGAAGATGTGGAAAAGACCCAAACTTTACTAATGAAAAAAGCAGGCAATAATCCTAAAGAAAGAAGCTTCAGTTACCCATAAACACTGTTCACCAAAGTTTAGGAGGGTATCTAAAATTACAATAATGCTTGCTCCCCAAAAAGGTATTATTTATAAGCATTATGTAAACAACTCACATTCTCAATGAACTGGGTATTGGACAGCATAAGGAAATCATTGAAGACATTATGCAAGCGACAATCAGTGGCTTTAGTCTCCCGAATTAGTCCATCCACTTGTTTCTTGATTTCATGGGTCCGAGAGATAGTCTGTTGTGAGAATTCCTGTAGAAACTGTAGTAGCTATTTTCAAAATAAACATAGTAGTATCAATATTATGTGCATCTACTCTGTGTGCCAAAACGAAAAAGAACCCACAACCTTTCACTTTTGTGTGTTGAAATGTAAAGGAAGGATGCTTTTGAAAGACCTAGAAGCATTAAAAAAAAAAAAAATTAAGAAAGCTCATCAAAGAAGTGAGCCAATGGACATTTGCTATCACATTTCTGGAGGGATTTTAAAGTCCCGTTTTGGTTGTCACTCTACAGGGAACACTGATGAAGCATAACAAAACACTCAATCCAAAAATCCTATTCATGTGGGACTCTGGAATTACAACTGACCTTTCTGGGTCCCAAGACTTAAGGATGTCTCTCAAGGATATTCATATAGTGGCTTGTCTCTTGCCCCACTCAGTCCAGATCTCAACCCAGAATAAGGCCATAGCAATCCCTCAGCATCGCAGAAACGCATCTGCCTAATTGGAAGCTCAACTGCGTGCACCTCCAGGAGCCCAGTGAAGGAAGACAAACCCTCATCTAGGCTTTAGTCCGAATTCTGGATGGGTTGAGCCCACTGATTTGCCCTTCTCCTTCGGACCTGGGGATGGTCGTGGTTAGGTTTTCAAGGGCAAGGAGCAGAGAGCAGGCAGCGGGGCAGCCTAGGTGCAGAGGAACAGGGACTCCAGTTTCCCGGCCTTTGTTTCACCCAGTGCGGCCCGCCTTCCCCGCGCGTCCCCAGGGCCCGCCTCTCACTCCCGCATCAGCGGCCAGCGACCAGCTCTGGCTGCTCCTGCGGATCTCCTCCACCGACCAGGGCCGCTCCCACACGGGCTCGGAGGTCGGAGCCCGCTCCTGGTCTGGGGTCGTCCGGTTCATCTGTAGCGGGAAGGACGAGAAAAGAGGCTGAGCCTGGCGGTAGAGGCCACCCCAGGGCAGCCCTACCCGGACCTGCCGCCCTCACCATCTCGCCCGCGTCGCTGCGGGCTCCACAGGGGCARTGCCAGCACTGGTGGGGAACCTCAGAGTTCCGGAAGCGAACCCCTGCAGCGCGACCCAGAAGGGGTGGATGGGGATCACGTGACTGTGTGTCACATGACAGGGCCCACACGTGAACGGCTGTGCGACGCAGCCGGAAGGAAGCTGGGCAGGGGGTTCCAAGGAAAATTAGGCAGGCTCCATTAGGCAAAGGCGGAGATACTGAGGGCTGGGTGGACGCCAGGGGGCGCAAAAGAGGTGGGGCTGGAGCCCTCTAGTGGCGGCCAAGATCAGGGCATCATTCCTGCTGCCAGCCTGGCAGGTGGAGAGGAGGGGTCCCAAGGAAGCTGGTGGAGCAACCAGCCTGGGGATTTTAAATGCTGAGTGATGTAGATGCAGGAGAAAACTTCAGCAATAGAGCTGTGCCTGTTCACTTGCTGCAAATCCACTGTCTGTGTGATGAACCCAGCCTAATTCCATCTTAAGATAGGAGCCATCTCATCAAAAAGTCATAAAAAATCATTTCTGTTTTCTGTAAAATACTAGGATTTCTATTTGGCCTGACCATATTTTGATGTTTTAAACTTGCTTGGAATTCCTGCCAGTGCCTGGTTTTCCCTGACCAGATAACAACCCTCTTGAAAACCTTAGTGGCACCTCATAAATCCTGGCTCCCCCTGAACCGATAACAACTCCTTCTGAAACCTCAGCAGTGTCTCATAAATTCTGATGTTGAGATATTAATCTATTCCCTTCCTTGAAATGTTAAGCCACGTAGATCATTAGCCTGCTGTCTGCCTTTGTATTAGGCTTGTCAGAATCCTGTTGGCTATAAGTTCCCAAGACAGTGCCCCCCCCTTATAATTTTTTGTGCTATAAACCTTTTTCCTGGAGACCTGATCTCTAGTCTGGCTTAGGAAGACACTGCCACTGGCCAGCTTTCTTTGTGTACCCAATATAGCTTGCTTTGATTTAAAATTGGAGTTGGTGGTCTTTTCTTTGCGGTGTGGTTCAACATGTAATGAGTCTGGCATCCTTGCACTAAGTAAATGAAGAATCACTGGTCTATGTGGGCATCATCATGCTTCTGATGACATTCTCATTTTCAGCTCATTCTTTTGGTGTCTGCTTTATTCTTGGCATTGCCTTAAGACTCAAGGCCATTGGGCTGGGGATGTGGCTCAAGCGGTAGCGCGCTCGCCTGGCATGCGTGCGGCCCGGGTTGGATCCTCAGCACCACATACCAACAAAGATGTTGTGTCCGCCGAGAACTACAAAATAAATATTAAAAATTCTCTCTCTCTCTCTCTCT